GGAAGGAAGGAAGGAAGGAAGGAAGGGAAGGAAGGAAGGAAGGAAGAATTTCAAAAGAAAAATCCTACACACAGTATACATAGCTTGTATGTATGTCCATGTTCGTGGTTTGAGTGACTGACTTTTAAAGATTTCTTTTTCTTCTGTTAAAGGACTGCTTTGGGTTGGGGTGTGGTTTGGTGGATGAAATGCTTACTGCTCAAGTGTAAGGACTCCAAAATCCACATAAAAGCATGCCTGGAAATCGCCTGGAATCCCAGCATCAGAGAGGCAGATCCCCAGGGCAAGCTGCACACTTAGACTAGCTAGAATTGAAAAGCTCCTGGTTCAGTGAGAGACCCTGCCTTACTAAATGGAGAGTGATGGAGGCATGCACGCACGCACGGACGCACGCACACAAATGCGTACCTCCCATACAAAGAAGAAGAAAAAAAGGAAAGAAGGAAAGGAAATGGTCTTCTAGGATTTGAAATATGGAATTGTTGGCTTTTATCAAAATGGGCTGTTTTTGCATTGAGCCTCCTCCAAGCCCACTGAGACTCTGAAGCATGGCAGGTCGAGTCCAGGCGCTGGGGCTCTGCCACCAAATGCAGCAGACAGTTTGCTGAACACTAAATGAATCCAAATACCTTTAGTAGATCATAGCTTTTTTACTTATTAAGTTTTACCTTCTAGAAAATATAGCAGAAAATCTATTTTAAAATACTGAGTAACTAAAAGTTAAAATAGATTTCAATTTAAAGGGAAAAATCTGTCTAGGAACTACATAATTCCAGAAAGATCACACTTTTATAGGGTCTGTATCATTCCATTGCATTTGTTAGTGATAGAGTTTGTGCGAAGAGGTTGTTTGGGGCATAGGAAACTGGAATCTCATGGTTCTCTTTGACAGTTTGCCAGCTGGAATCCCAGGTAACCAGATAACTGGTTGTAGCAACACACAGTCCTCTAGGACTCCTGAACTTCGTCCAGGCCTTGGAGGGAAGTCTCTCTGAGCACACTCGTGCCCATCTGAGAGTAGAGGGTACCACTGTGCCATGGTGTAGGCAAAAGTATTCCATCACAGTAGGCTTACAGATGAAATCCTGAAACTATGTAGTATTGTTTTACTATTTTACATTTTAAACAGAAAACAGGAAGGCAGAAACCCCTTTGCCTTCTTTAGTGTTCTGTAAGTGGCTGAACTCAGCTGAAGGGACCTCAAGTATGTGTGTCAGGAAATGACGATGACCCTCTTGTAATACAACCAATGTTTCCTCGAGGAGAGATGGGGTGAGAATGGGGTGGAAGTTGGGGTGGGGGAGGAGAGAGAGATCCTAAATTTCATCTTTATTCATGGAATTCCTAGATTTTCTCAAGTGTATTAAGAATTTATGTTTCATTTCAGCTTTCCTTTCAGGAGTGATGCATTTACCCGGTTGATACCATCACTGATCCAGTCAATCAAAGCTTTGCTATTCTAACTGCCTCGTTGTTTTTTCTCATTTCTCATTTTTCTCATTTCTCATTTTGAGAATGTCGCTGAATTTCGTATTTATTTCCTTATAGTATCTCCCCAGCTGATCATTTCCTCTGCTACTCTCTTTTTCAGACTCAATCACCTCATGCATAGCTAAAGAACTAAGTATCTTCCCTAGGGTTATTTATAGCATCTATATCTTCTACCACTTACCACTTATGAGGATAAATATAAATAAAAGGACACACAACAACAAATGTTGGTAAGGTTGTAGGAAAGCGGGAACCCCCAGATATTGCTTTTGAGAGTCTAAAAGGTGGCAGCCATGTTGCAGGATAGTTTAGTACTTCGTGTTTAAACAACCACAACAAAATGATAGAAAGACCTTGCTCAAAGCGGTGACACCATCTAATGACCCAAGACCAGTTCCTAAGAGTCCAGGAACCTCACTAAAACCCCTGGAACATGCTGCCACTACTCTGGGTACTGTTTCGTGATGTTCCAGGGCCATTTTCAGTGTTCAGGATAATGCTACATTAGCTGTTTTGATGGAGCTCTTAGATTCTGTTGGAAAATTTTTTTCAAACATTTTCTCTAAATTTCTCCCACTGCACCATTAGCGTAACCTCCATCCTTAGCCAGCTTCACAGAGTCTTGGTCCACCCATCCCTTACTCTCCATTTTTCTCTCAGTTAACTTCACCCTCCCCTTAGAACACTCAACTTTCTGTGTTCTATAGCACTCAAGACTTTCTACTGTATCTCTGACTGGTGGGTTAGGTTATGTTTTCAAAGTATTTTTCTTCTCAGGTAATCTTTTTAAAAAAATGCATATTAGAGAAAATGAAAGTTCCAGAACCTAGGGACCACCTGTTGCAACGCCTTCCCCTTTCCACAGCACCCAACACTTGTCTTTCACATGATGCATGCAGAATAAATGCTACGAGTTAAGTTAGTGCTTCATCTCAGTAAGTGCCAGGTCCCCACCTCTGCCTTCCCCATGATCCCCCGGGGACCAAGTTCTTCCATAGTCCAGCAGGTCAGACTCTCGGGTGGAGGGCTCAGCCTTACACTGAGATGCTGTTCTTACAGCCCAGGCTGAAGGGCACAGAGCCTGACAGGTAAAGGAATGGAAGTCAGTGGTTAGGAAACCTAGTTGACCATTGCAAGGGTTGAGGATCAGAATGCTTGCATTTCGAAGCTCTCCACTGATGGGGGTTTTGTTGGGACTTTTGAAAGAATCACTGTTTTGATAAGAATCTTTGCTGCAGCAATGTAATTGAGACAACAGCTCTAGGCCCCTAAGACCTTTTAAAAAACACATCATACCTTAGTAATAGGTGTAGATGTCTTGATGCTCTTGGCAAACTAAGAACCAATGAACTTTTGTCTTCTCTAGGCTGGTAAACACTCAGCAGCTCACCCTCCCAAGACTCTCCATGTCCCTTGTTCCTGTTCCGCTGCGGTGCTTGGAAGCAGGAGATGGGCTCACACACAGTCAACCGGACATGATCCAGGAGGAGCAGTGAGGGGCAGTGCTGCTGGTGAGGCCGGGGGCATGGTGGATGCTGGACTTGCAAGTTCAGGGTTGTGTGTGGTTCCACGGTTACTCCAGATCACACTGTGAATCATGACTGTCAGCTGTGCATAAGACACAAAGATCAGATTTTAAGATAAATCTCTACCGTTGTATGACTTTTATACCTTTCTGTAGCTTCCTGGAGTGTTGTACATTTATAGAATTCTTACCAGATTCTTAATGTCTGATTATTTTTTTTTTTTTAATTTGGAGCTGAGGACCAAACCCAGGGCCTTGTGCTTGCTAGGCAAGCACTCTACCACTGAGCTAAATCCTCAACCCTAATGTCTGATTCTTACTAAAAAAGAAATAGCCTTCACATATAACTAAGCATGGAGAAGTGCATGTTATTGTCACAGTATCCCTCTTTCCTCTCCTCCATTTGTTACTCACACGTGGCCACGTTCCTCAGCCTTGTTAGGAAAAAGTCAGTGGTGTTCACATTGGAAAACTCAAATAATTCCTTGTGTCTTTAAAATTAATCTTAATAAAGACCAGCATGCTTTTAATGTACCAAACTCTTAGTAAGTTTCCCAAACTAAGGGTTCTTTTAAAAAAAGAAAAATTTTATTACATTTGTTTACTAAGGAGCCATTCTATATTTGTGTGTGTTTGTGTGTATGTGTGTGTGTGTGAGAGAGAATGTGTGAGTGTGTATGTGAGTGAGTGAGTGTGTGTGTGTGTGTGTGTGTGTGTGAGAGAGAGAGAGAGAGAGAGAGAGAGAGAGTGTGTGTGTAGTTCAGAGGACAACTTGTAGTTGTGGGTCTGTCCTTCTGTTATGTGGGTTCTGATGATAGAACTCAAGTTGTGACCTCTGGCAGCCAACACCCTTACTCATCTTGCTAGCCCTAAACTAGGTTTAGTTTTAATTAATTAATTAATTAATTTGTATTTACTGTGCTTGTGTTTTCTCCTTCTACCATGTGGATCCTGGGGATGGAGCTTGGGTTATGAGGGCTGCCAGCAGCAACATTTACCTCCTGAGCCAGCCATCTCTCTGGCCCCCTAAGTAAGGATTCTTTATCAAACCATTTTCCTGTATTTATATGCACATATAGAAGTAGGGAAGAAATGGATTCCCCCCACACACACGGAAAATGAGAACAAGAATGCATTCTGCATACACCCTGGCCTGTGCTGGAAGCCAGCTGAAGTTTTAGGGGTGGGTGTTGTGGGCGAGCCCCGAAGGTCAGATAGAGAAAAGGAAGATTTAGGCAATTCCCCCTCTGTAACTCTTGGCAGGTAGTCCAGCGTCAGCGTGTCTTTATGCATTCAGCAGAATGAATTGTGCAGAAAGCCCTGCCCTCGTTCTCTGAGCTTGAGGATGTAAGCATCCACGCTGCCACTTGATACTTCGGAGATGATGGTCTGATGCCGAGAAGTCCTTCTGAGTGTCCTCAGCTAAACCCTTGTGGCTTCAGAGGCTAGTGCCTCTGCCTGGTGGGGGTGGTCAGCTCATTGAAAGGGAACTCTCAGAATGAAGATTTTCCTCTTGATTCTTAATATTCTTAGACTTCCTCTTTCCCTGCGCATGTTGGAAAATCTTGGGTAATTATGAGCAAAGCATTCTTTACTCCCCCCCCCAACACACTCAATGACTGTTCACTTCACCACGTGGGTGCCAACTGTGGCCACTCATTCTGCTCTTGTCCTTAACGTGAGAACTGAGAGCATATATTTTAAGATGGAATTTTTATCTCTTTCGTGAGATGATAGTGTTACTCGGAGATTCTTTTCTTGGAGGTGGGGGGTGGGTGAGGAAGGGAGTGTACAAGTTGATGGAAAAGTGTAAGAGAAATAACTAAAGAAGATTCAAAATTGGAACGTTCGCTTTTTTAGAAGTGGCTTGCTGAGGAGCTCTTTCCCTTAGCACCCCCCAATCCCCAATCCCCCTACCCTGCTCCTATCTTAGTTCACACTTAGTGTTTACTGTTGAATCAACTCAGCCTAGGACTTAACTTTCTGTAGTAAATAAGCCTAGGGTGCATCTGAGGTCACTTATTAAGAGTATATTTAAGGTCTTTTTTGTTGCTGTTGTTGTTGTTGTTGTTGTTTTGTTTTGTTTTGTTTTTCGAGACAGAGTTTCTCTGTGTAGCTTTGAAGCCTGTCCTGGAACTCACTCTATAGCCTAGGCTGGCCTTGAACTCACAGAGATCCACCTACCTCTGCCTCCCGAGTGCTGGGATTAAAGGCGTGCACCACCACTGCCCGGCTGAGTATGTTTAAGGTCTTTAAGCCTTGCTTTACTTGGCAGTTAGGAAAGAATAGACAAGGACAATAGGATTGTTTTAAGGATACTCTGTAGGGTCAGGCACAGTGCGAGTTTCCAGTTTTCTACTAGCATATCTTTCGTTGTTATCAACCATCTTAATGGTTCCTTCCATTTTTATTTCGTTTCATTCCAGTATTTCTTTAATTAATTCTCTATGTGAACGAGTGTTTTTGCATGTATGTCTGTGCACCACATGTATGCCTGGTGCCCTCAGAGACTGAAAGAGGGTGCTGGAGTTAGAGACAGCTGTGAATGTCTGGGACATGAACTGAGTCCTCTGGAAGAGCAGCAAGTGCACTTGACTGCAGAGCAGTCTCTCCAGCCCCACACTTCCCATATCAAGTCCTGGGGACAGAACCCAGAGCCGTGATCGTGCTCGGCATGTGTTTTGCTAGAGAGCTAGACACTTACCTCTCCTTAAACCTTTTAAACTAGGAATTTGTTGTAAAGAACTTTATGTATGCCTATCAAATACTAGACACACTTCTAGGAAACAGACAGAAATTTTTGTCTTTGGTGAGCTTAGGAGTCTGAAGGAGACACAGACAAAACATGATAGTTTTTAAGAAGGCAGTATGCTAAATACCAAGAATTATTAAGCATAAAATAAAGGACAAAGTTGGATGTGATGTTGTATGCTTGCTTTTTCTTTTTCTTATTCTTTTGCTTTTTCTTTTTTTGCTTCTGCTCAGTTTATTGATGCCTCTCCCCACTCCCCTGTACACAATCAAGATAATGCCCCCACAGGCGTGGTTAGCAGCCCCGCCTTTTCATTTTCTCAGGAGGCTGAGGCAGGAGGGACTATTTGGGTCCAGGAGTTCAGAGCCTGGGCACTCTTTCACAAGAAAGAGGGTATCCGGCATGACTATGAGATAGTTAATTGAAGACACAGCAGTCAGAGAAGTCTTGTTGAGAAGATTAGATCATGGCATTGAAACAAACCATGAAGTTATGTGGAGCAAAACCTCTAAGTAATAGAAACAAGTCAAAAAGAATAAGAAAATGGTTTCAGAGGAAGCCAAAAGGAACCAGAGCACTAGAGCTTAAGGAAGTTCCATCAGTAAATGTTTGTCTATATCCTCAGTTAAGTGGGAATGGATGAGGACCTGGGGAAGTCAGAGGGCAGGGTCTGGATCTTGAAGGACAGGAGGTAAGAAGAGGGTGGCATCCTAGTGGAGAAATGGAGGCAAACATTATGGTGTAATAGATTGATGATGTGGACTCTGAGGGTTGGATGCCACCCTCTGTAGACCTCCTGTGGGCAGATGATTCGAGAGCAGGTGAGAAGCACAGAGAAAGAAAGGATCGGATCAAACTAAAGACTGCTGTACCGAGAGAGTTTCAGGACAGCCAGAGCTACACAGAGGAACTCCGACTCAAAAAACCAAAATAAAGAAAACAATAAAAATGTATTTTTAAAACTTAAAAAAAACAAAAAACCAAACCAGAGCCCGGCACATGCTAGGCACATGTTCTAACACCTCATACCGATAATTTGAAATTGTATCAGGTTCCCTGTCTTCACCTCTTGGTGACTAGTTTTGAGAAAATTTGATGTAAAAATATAGACTGAATGTGTAAAAAAAAAAAAAAAAAATTAAAAAAAAAAACAAAAACCCAAAAGCAAAAAAAAAAAAAAAAAAAAAGACTACTGTACCCTGTCCTGCAAATACTGGGGAACAAATGCCACAGTGGACTGTGAACTCATCATCAGTAATGTGACCTTGACAAATTTAGAAGAGCAGAGAGTAGATATGGGAGTGATTCAGGGGTGATTCAGGAGTGATTGAGGACCTGCATTATGCCAAGAGATAAGCATGGAAAGGAAAAATAGACCTGATATATTCAGAGAATAATCAAGAGGATTCAGATACTAGTTGCACATAGGAGATGAAGGAGACTAGTTTAAAATTTCCCCTTATTGTTTTCAAAGGGCAAATTGGGGCATATTTGAATTCAAAGTTCATATAAGATTTGAAATGAGCCGAATAAGTTTCTAGGAGTCTCTTAACCATATATTAAATATCCAGGTAAATGCTAACATATTGCATTCTATTATCTGTAGAAAAATATGTTCGAGTTCTAGGTTTTTTTCTTCTACCAATACTTACTTAAGGTTCCTTATTTAAATAAGTCAACTTTCTTGCTTTAGTAGTTTGAAAAGAAATTGTTGGGTTTTTGCTTTTGGTTTGGTTTGATTTTCAACACAGGGTTTCTCTGTGTAACAGCCCTGGCTGTCCTGGAACTCTCTTTGTAGACCGAGCTAACCTTGAACTCAAAGAGATCCACCTGCTTTTGCCGTGGGGGTGCTGGGTTGAAAGGCGTGTGCCATCCCTCCCAGCAGAAATGGTTGTTTTTAATGATGTGTTAATTTTCTGTTTATCTTTTGGGGGTGTGCATGGTTTGGTTTTCTTTTTCTTTCTTCTTTCTTTCTTTCTTTCTCTCTTTCTTCTCTCTCTCCCTCCCTCCCTCCCTCCCTCCCTACCTACCTTCCTTCCTTCTTTCCTTCCTTCCTTCCTTCCTTTCTTTCTCTTTTTTCCTAGACAGGGTTTCTCTATGTAGTTTTGCACTTTTCCTGTAGCTCACTTGGTAGCCCAGGCTGGCCTCGAACTCACAGAGATCCGCCTGGCTCTGCCTCCCTAGTGCTGGGATTAAAGGTGTGCACCGCTGCTGCTGCTGCTGCTGCTGCTGCT